AAAAATGTCTTAACTAGTGCCCTGGTTATCACAGTAGTTGGCATAGCAACCAATCAAGAACAGCCACCTGTGCATTATGGGAATTGTAAGCACAGCTGGAACTTGTCTTTGACTAATCAGATTGGTGGGTTTGAAGTCCTCATTGTTTCATTATATTTTTATTTTCTAACAATTACCTGTGTAAAAGAAGAGGGGGAGCAGGACCTGATGTGAAGTATGCAGGATCAGGACAGCCAGGTTTAAATTTAAATCAATCCTCCATAAAGGCGTAAAATAATCCCCAAACTTGCTTTGATGAGCATTAAACAGCCGAAAAAGTTCATTTTGTGTTGTGTGGTAACAAACTCAGAGTCCTAACCTTCACCCTGCCTCTCTCTCTCACTCTCTCCTCTCATCCCTCTCTCCCCTGTGTTCTCTGTCCCAGCACAGGCCTCCCAGGGTTGTGTGTGTGTGTGTGTGTGTGTGTGTGTGTGTGTGTGTGTGTGTGTGTGTGTGTGTGTGTGTGTGTGTGTGTGTGTGTGTGTGTGTGTGTGTGTGTGTGTGTGTGTGTGTGTGTGTGTGTGTGTTGTGTGTCTGCTGGTGGATCAAATGCACTCTGTGAGACAAAGCGTAACGGCAGGATGCTCTACGACTCTGTCATCTCACTATGGGTCACATACACACACACACACAGGCTCACACACTGACTGGGTCTCAGAGGGGGACAGCATACAGAGACTGCGGTCCCCACACACACTGATCAAAACAATGTATTTGTCAGAAAAGAGAACTCTTTCATGGGACACACACACACACACACGCACACACACAGAGGCGTTGGAGGCCTCTCTCCATGCCCTTGTTCCGGACAGCCCAATTATCTCTCTGCACCTCACTGTTTTCCCTCAATCCTCTCTGTCTCTCTGTCTTTTTCTTTCCCTCTCTCTCTGTAGATTTGTCTTTTCTCATCTGTAGCCACTTTTTTTCACTCACCCTATAATTGATTGATTGTTAATTAGCTTCTAAAGTTTCTTTTGTAAGGCTGATGGTGTCATTGACGTCATCTGTGTGAATGCTTGCACATTCTTAAACACACAGGGGGAAGAAAGATAATATGCAACAATTCACGATGGAAGCAAATGTTAGTTGATGTTAGGATTAGTACAGAAACCATCAGCCAAAAATGAATCAACTATTTTGATGACCAGGAAAAAGGGAGCTGCTGTGTTCTGACTGTATGAATATTTGAATATTTTTGAGTTTCAAACTGTTGGTTGGTCAAAATCAGAAATCTGAAGATGTCGATTGGAATTGGCATCTTTGACTATTTTCTGACATTTTATTGACTAAAAGATTTATTAGTTGCAGCCCTTTTTGAGATGGTTTGTCAATAAAAAATGAAGCTGTAATGGTTAATTGATCAGCTGTCTATTTTGATAATCGATTAATCATTTTGAGTTTAAATAATGTCCACATTCTCTGATTTTAGCTTCTCAATTTTGAATATTTTCTGTTTTCTTTATTCCTCTATGACAGTAAACTTTCTGTAAAAAAAAAAAAAAAAAGCGTTTCTGACCTTTGAGGACCGACGTTGCTAAGAAAAACTCTGGGTGGTGTGCTGCTGACCAAAACACGTCATAGCCCTATAGTCTACAAACATACAAGGCAATTTGTCCATTTTTTCAGCAGTTTGTTGATTCATCGATTAGTTGTCAACTTTTAAATTAATCACCCACTTTTTGGATAATGCTTTAACAGTTTTGAGTCAGTTTTTAAGAAAGAATTCTCAGATTTCCGCTTTTCCAATGTGAATATTTTCACATTTCTTTAGTCTTCTTTGACAGGAAACTGGATATCTTTGGGTTGTGGACAAAACAAGACATTTGAGGACATCACCTAGTGCTTTGGGAAAAAGTGATCAACATTTTTTAAACCATTTTCCGTCATTATATATAATCAATTTATTTAGAAAATAATGGACAGATTAGCCGATAATGAAAATAATAATTTGTTGCAGCCAAATAAAAAACACAGTTCTTTGTAAATTCCCCCAAATATGGTTTTATGATTGACAGCATTAGAGAAGTAGAGTGGGATAATTTGCTTATAAATAAAGTATGAGTAAGGGGACGATGATTCATTTAGTGTAATTATGTACATTGTTGGAGATTTGGAGCATTTTAGATTCATTTCCTTTAATAGGATCCACTCATAACCACATTTCCATAAGTGTAATTAACTGGAATGTGTGCAGTTGATGATTTTTATTTTGGTAATTGCAACTTGATTACCTGCACTAACTTTGTCACACAGTATGTGTCAGAGCAGGATGTCGGTGTCTGAGCTCACGGACTGCGGGTAATAGGCACATCATTGTTCGCATGTAAAGGTAGCCGATGTTTGACCACGTTCTCTGATCCTGTTGGCGTGGGATAGTGCAAGCCAACTTCTGAAGAGCGCATTACCCCTACTGAGGGCAAGAGCTTTTAAGGTGCCTTCTACAGGGACCCCGACATGCACACACAAACATACACAGCGAGATCAGCCAAGCGTAGGCATTACTTACTTATTCACCCTCTGTCTCTATCTGTGCCTTTGGTATCGCTGTATCTCTTTCTCTCAGGGCTGTCTTTTGCCTCTGTTCAGTTGAAACAATCATTTTCTCTTTTGAAGAAATTCATTGTTAAATAAAAGTATACTTTTACTCAGACAAGGAATACTTATATGATAATTAAAATGTGAAATATGACAATTGATTAAACTGGTTGTGGTGTACGCTCCTCCGTTTCTCTCTCGCTCTTTCTCTCTGTGTGTCTCACTCCATGTGACTCTCTCCTGCTGTTTCAATCTCCTAGTAAATGATAATGAAGCTCTATCTGTCTCAGTATGTCTCGGACACACTGGCGCCCCACACAACCTAGCAGCCTTTGAGGTGTGTGTGTGTGTGTGTGTGTGAGAACAGGGGGATGTTTGGGGACCGGGACCATGCAGCATACCATCTCATCCATATAAGCCCATGTGGCACCCACCCCACACACACACACACACTCCCCCACAGCTATTGAGACGGGATTAGGACACCCTTGTGTCGGCCTTTGAGGCAAGGAGAGATAGGAATCTTTGTGTGTGTGTGTGTATTAGTCAGTATGGGTGTCATGGATGTATGATTGAAGACGTTATTAACCCCACGATCCCCTGCAGCTCTGCAGCTGAAGTTCTGCAGACTGTTTGAATGTGTGTGTGTGTGTGTGTGTGTGTGTGTGTGTACATACACACTTACAGGACAGGAGATAAGTGACAATAATGGAAAAAGACACAGACTGTGTGTCGCTCTGAGTCAGTATGTGTATGCATGTTTGTATGTGTTGGTGTGTGTGCAACTCCACAAGGGGTTACAGATTGGCCCGCAGAAGACACCATCTGATCTCTCCAGGCTGTACACTCCTATGGTGTGCATGTGTGTGTGTGGCCCCACGCGGTGTGTGTGTGTGTGTGTGGGCGACTGGGGCATCGGTCCTGTATGGTACAATGATGATAAGGACAACAGGCGGGAGACCTGGTCGTCGAGGGGTGTGTGTGTGTGTGTGTGTGTGTGTGTGTGTGTGTGTGTGTTTATGACGCCCACCTTTCATCTGGCCTTTCACCATGGGTGCTGTGATGATGTCACTCACACCTTCCTAAAATAGACGCACACAAACACACATAAACATTGGTATAATCCCAAGTGAGAGTAAGGAGGACGGGTGGAGGCTGGGTTGTGGACAGACGTAACTGATCAGCTCTCTTAGTCTCTCAGTGTACAGTTTCCTTCATCTCTCTCATCATTTAGATACTGTGTTCACACTGATCACTGAGGGGGCAGAAAAAGGTCTCCATTACTGTGATTTCATGTCATCTGAATACGAGAAAAAGTGGTCATGGGAGTTGTATCCACATCTTCTAAAAAGGCCGATCGAGCAGGGTTTCCTAAAATGTTTAAAGTCAAGGACCCTCACAATAGATGCACAGTACTCCTCTATTTTAGGTTTGAGGATAAATAGAAACATTTATTTAATCAGGAGAAAACCAGTTTATAATAATGAAATTAATAATGGTCTTTATAGCCCACCAACTTCCAAAAAAGGTGATAAAAGTTAAAATATTATATTCCTCCTTTTGCTGAGGACCCACTACAACCCGCATGGGTCCTCAAGACTGAAAAAAGTGGGAAGTATAGTATATATGAAAAGAGGAAATAAGGTGTGAGGGGTTTGAATTGGAGCCCACACAAATTAATCAGCATGTGATGACCCAAGAGGGACGATAAGGGGGACACGGAGGAAGGAACGGATAGTGGGAAGGGACAGATGAGGAGTGGGGGATGGTGGATAACGAGGACAGAAGGAGGGAAGGAAGGAGGGCTATAGGAAGGGTAGATCATCCACAGCCCCGGTGGGGTGGACAGGCAATTACCAGTTGGGGCAGACATGGCACTGGGATTGGTGTGTGTGAGTGTTGGGGGAGTGTACAAGGGAGAAGGGAAAATGAAAGGAGAGCATGGAAATTTAGAGACTACTTTTCCAGTCATGGAAACACCTGGAATTTGACTGACGTTACCAAAAATCCTGGAAATATTTTTTGTTGTTCTGGAAAATGGTAATAGTATTTTGGCTGCTCATCTACATTGCCTACATAAACCTAGGTGTGTATTTAGTTTGAAACTCAACTGTTGATGTGATGAGCTGCATAATTACACTTTTTTTCCCGACGTGGAACGTTAAAACGCTCCTTTTCCAGTTCATCACTTCTATCGCGTCTCAATGCCATATGGTTCATAAGTGCACTTCTTCTTCTCTGCATCCACCGGTTTTCTCACACATCAGTATATAATCCGCCACTGTCTGACCGTGTCTGCCGGTTTCTGTATGTGCAGAAGACATCTGTCGTGAGTGTTGTATTAATGCTGGAAAATGGTGTCATATGTTCCTGTTTTCGTGTTGCTTAATCCAGCCTACACATGCGTGTCTGTCTCCTATTTGCAGAGGAGGGCATCAATCACGAGTGCAAGCTGTGTAACCAGATGTTTGATTCACCTGCCAAGCTGCTTTGCCACCTGATAGAGCACAGCTTTGAAGGCATGGGAGGTACCTTCAAGTGTCCCGTCTGCTTCACAGGTGAGAGACAGACAGACACACACACACACACACACACACACACACACACACACACACATTCACCTTGAAGGACAGTAGCGCAGATAAATCCCACTCACTTGTGTCCTATCTGCTTTACATTTAAAGTGGACACAGAAACAGAGATACATACAGTATACAAAAGCTTAGGAAGTAGTTGGCACACGTACATACACAAGCTACACAGCAAGGACATACAATTAGCCTGAGGAATCTCACACACACACTCTAGTACACCATAAGACACCATTGACATTAACATGACATAAGGGATACATGCCATCCACAATTTTCTGCCATGTTGTTCTTTAGTGTGTATTTTACACCACTGTACATTACCAATGAAATATAGACTGGGGCTGCACAATTAATCAAAATGTAATCAAAATCCCAATATGGCAAAATGCAATAATATCCAAACTGAGAAGCTGCTTTTTTGATAACGGTAAAATGTGTGACAAATTAGCATTATAATGAAATATTTTAGCCTGGCCAACAAATCTTGTTTGGTAGAGGCCCTAAAAAATGTCCCCTCATTATGATTTTGATCGCTTTAGTGCAAATTAAATTTGTGGTAAAAAAAAAAAAAAGTTCATTCCCACACTTATCGTGAACATATCACAGTTTCTACCAGAATTGATTGTATATAGGCTACTATTGTCTTATGCTAATACTAAATGAATATTGTACAAGTGTTTTCATTTGTGTTTGAATTGCTCTGTAGTCTGTTGTCTGTCCTATTCATAGATGAAAAGTGTTTTTACCATGCCAGCCACGCTTTTACATTCCTCATTAAAGCTGCAGACTGAAGCACAAAAATGTGTCTACCACACATTCTCTAAGCACCAAACTGCTCACATATTTTGGTGAAAATGCAAGATGAGGTTAATATTGCAACTGGAAGCACTTAAATCGACTCCAGTACATGTTGTGGCTCAGAAATGGCTCTCACTGGGTTACCTGCATCATGATGCATAGAGTCAATGTGCCGTAATGGCTGTGAAGTCTTTGGTTTCGGGGGAAAACAGTAAGATCACATTAGGAATATTCATTGTTTTAACATTCCTAACGGTGGCAGTAATATCCCAGCAGGGTGCTGATGTTAAAGAAGTACTGACAAAACTCTGCGTGTGCAAAACTTCATGCAGTAATACCTCCAAACAGGACAAATATGAAGTACCTTATATCTCGGAAATCCACTGGAGGACCCAAACAAAATGTTGGATGACCAAATTAAGCCCGTGGTGTTCAGAGTTTCATTCAACACCTTCAGTATTTTACCAGAAACTAAGTCTGCACCTTCCCATCTCTTGACTCTCTATCCCCATATGCTCTCTCTCACTCTGTCACTTCATCACTCTCTTTCCCTCCCTCAGTTGTTGAGTTTGTTCTGTGTTGTGTGCCTCCCCCCCCCAGGTACACAGCAACGCTTTAAACTTTAACTCTATTCCTTAGTGGCTTATGAATTAGTAAGATGGGCACCACTCCTATGGGGAGGCTTAATAATTCAACACATACACACTCACACTGAAAGTTTACTGAAACAAAGGGGGGCGAAGGAAAAAAAAGTGTATGAGACAACACTGGAACGGAAGTTAAAAAAAGAAGAGATAATTTATTGATAAATATCACAATGTCTGCTGAGGATAGCTCTTCCTGTTTTCTCTCATTCTTTCTCCCTTCTGCCTTTTTTTCTATCCCATACGCTCCCTCCTTTCCAAACCTTAATTTGCTGTGTTTGTGGGGTGAGTTGTACTGAAAGCTCACAGCTTCATGCACTGTAGTGTCTCAGTCCTTCCTCCAAAACCTTCAGTTGTCTTCCACTGACGCACACACATCAGTTTTCTCCAAAGCTTGGACTTAAAGCACCAGTGTGTAGGATTTAGTGGCATCTAGCTGTGAAGTTGCAAATTTCAACAAACTGAACACCACTCTCGTCTGTATTTGGCGACCAGGGAATGAGAACGGACTGGGAAGTGTGTAGGAGAAACAACAGTGTCCACAAAACTCTTGAAACACGCAAAATGCCCTATGTACAATGTCGGGTTTGTTATATTCCATTTCTGCCAATAGAGCCTCCTAAATGTTACACACTGGACCCTTTAAGCATTAAAAAATAGCAATGGTATTGGAAGACCTCCAACAAATATTATGATAGCCTATTCAATTTGAAACTTCTGAAAATTATGTTGCCTTGAATCTGGTACCATACTAAGTGGCCCCGGGAACAGACATGCCAACAACAGTTCAATTAAATTCTGAAAATCTCAACTGGAAAGTCCCCTTGAGCTCATTTCCTTGAGTTTTTGGTCTGTGGAATTATCTTACAAGCCTTCAGTCAGGGTTTAAGCATTGGCTGATTGACTTTCTCTAATAAACTCTGTGTAACTTGTGCTGTATGTGTTCCTTTCCCAGTGTTTGTGCAGGCCAACAAGCTCCAGCAGCACATTTTTGCCGTCCACGGCCAAGAAGACAAGATCTACGACTGTTCCCAGTGTCCGCAGAAGTTCTTCTTTCAGACAGAACTACAGGTAGGTCACCTTAATTCTATCTCTGTGTTGATCTTGACCTGTTTGTCTGTGTGTACTTCTTGTCCGGCATAAATTAGGAAATGATTGTGTGCAGGCACTGACCACAGTTTGTGTGTCCAAGGAGACTCACTGTATCGGAGAAAGTGTAGCTAACTCTAAACCCACACAGGGTAAACAGCTTCCTGGCACCTCCCTGAGCAGACCTCCTCATTCCTCCCTCACTCTCTCAGTCATTACACCCCTCCCTCCCTTCTTTCTAGGTTTCCACCCATCCCTCAATATACAGTAACCTTCCTCAGTACCTGCTCCCATCTACTGTACCTCATTTTACAGAAACCCTTTATCTACTCTCTCCACCCTCTTTCCATTCCTCTGTCCCTCTCTTCTTCCATCTCTCCTCATGAGGTCTGAGCAGGGTTCTGGCAAGCTTCATGTCATTAGGGTCCAGACACATTTATGTGTGTGTGCATGTGTGCATCTGAAAGAGAAGAGAAGATATAAGTCACCCAAGAGTAGGTCCTGGGCCAGCTGTGGCCAGGCCTGTGATGATGTAAACCTTCCTGTCCTCGTCCATTGCCTCTGTTGTACCCCTTTGGCACCAGATAGTGACCTGCTGGATCTGCAGGTCAAACATCAGCCCTGTTAAAGGTGAAATCTGTAACTTTGCTCGTGCTGCTTCCTGCTGCATTGATCAGAGGTACATGTTGAAGAATGCAGTTGTTTGTAGAAGATTGTGAGAAATCCTGCAGTTTATTTGAATTCACTACAGAACATCAAAAGAAAATTCAGCTGCTAGTGAGAACCGATACCTCTGGGCTTATGATTAATGTTGCTGCTTAGAAATACAAACATGTGTGTTATGCATTGCTTCTGGTATACGGCTCTGTTCTGAGGAGAATTTATTGACGCTGTCAGCCAGGACAGGTGCAACTCTACGAGCCATAGATAAGTGACAAACTGATCAACAGTCTCATTAGCAGAGTATGGAGAGAATATCTCCAACTACGATACACTTTCTGGGTTGTGTGTTTTACACTAACACTACACAGATGAAAATATGAATAATTGATTACTAAAAAACAAAACAAATAAAAACTGCAGTCTATCTCTAAGTGGAGTCTGCAAAACCATGTTCAGCACTGTAAAACCAGATAAGTTCATTTAACTCCAAACTGATAACAAATTACATTTTTAAGTAAGTAGCTTTTTTTAATTCTTTTTTTTTATTTGTACTGTGAAAACAAAATAGTACTTAATCAGAAATGTTACTAAGTGTTACTTAAAATGACTAGTAAAAGGTGCTTAATCAGAAATCTTTTGAACCTAAAACATGCAGTTTGTGTTACTTAAAATGTTCTATGGTATCAGTTTTTTTTTAGTTAAAATAACTCCTCACATTGTGGTGAGTGTTCTGGCATTTCTTTCTACAGCAGATGGACCCAGGTTAGCATGCTGGAATATTCCTGAGCTGTGTTTCATAAAAGCTGCATTTTAGCTTGAAGTTGAACTATTTAACCTCTCCTTCCATTCATTTATTTGGTGCAGCCAGTAATTCTGATGCTTTTTCAGTTTATAAAGGCAGAAGGTGTTCGATAATAAGCACGGTATTTGACTGCTACATGACTGCTAGAAGAGTGGTTGCTGTTCGGGTGTTGCTAACAGAGATTTGGAAGTAAAGTCAGAAAGGGATAGTTTGAATTCTACCAGCGATTGTTTGAATTTACAAAGGCCTGCACCAGCCACCACACAAACAGACACACACAAACACACACACACACACACACACACACACACACAAAGTGGCAGTGATGTAGGGCCGGAGGTGGTGGGCATATGGCTGGCCAGTCCATTTAACAGCAGGGTGACTGCTGGACCCTGTCGGTTAATGTCCACACACAGGCTCCACTCACACCTCACACACTCCTGCTCACCTCCACACACCTCTACACACACACAGTGTACGCTACACAAGAACAACCCCACTCCTCTTCTACATACCACTCCATCCCGGATGACACCTCTCTTGTGGTCTGACCAGGTCGCAACATCTTTATAGAGTGACGAATTGTTGAATTGTAGCAATCAGTTGGCTAAATAAGTGTTGTCGGGCTTGGTTTCAAAAGAACTCGACTACAGGCTTTAATAACTGTTGGTTTGACGGTGTCCTCCTGCACTTCTCTTCCCGTGTTCCTGTTTGGGCCATTGGGTTTTGACCATTTTTTACCTCCGCTTACAGTCTTATAGTCGATTTTGCTGATAACTAATCCTGGATGTTGCAGGCTAGTCGTGCGCAGAAGGCTCATATTGAAACTGAAATATAACAGGCATTTTAAAAGAATTATATATAATTCTATTTAGATTTAAAAGAATATTTCAGATTTTCCTCTGTAACTCGAGAGGCAGATTGCGTACCGCCAGTGGTACACATACCAGAGTTTGAGAAGCAGTGAAATACTACATATACAGTAAACTCCAGTTTGATCAGGTCAGATGAGTTGAATTCTGTTGTTTTCATTCCTGCTAAGTTGAGCTCAGTTCAATTTTTTTCTCTCCCTCAGCTCCTTGTACTTCTTCCTCTTTGGCTGCTGCACTGTGGCTATATCCATCTTGTTACTCTTTGGTCCTGGCCCAAGTGTGTGTGTATCTGTGTGCGTGTATTTTTTCTGTGTGCGTGTGTATGTGTGTGTGTGTGTGTGTGTGTGTGTGTGTGTGTGTGAAAACTTGCAGCCCGAGCCCGACCTGCCACAGCTCCATTGCCCCATGGGAGGGCTCTCTAAGTGGGCTAGACAGAAAGGCTGACTGGGGGAGATGGAGAGCTACAAGCATGGAGGTTAATGCCACTGCTAGCTGTTATCGCGTGTGTGTGTGTGTGTGTGTGTGTGTGTGTGTGTGTGTGTGTGTGTGTGTGTGTGTGTGTGTGTGTGTGTGTGTGTGTGTGTGTGTGTGTGTGTGTGTGTGTGTGTGTGTGTGTGTGTGTGTGTGCGTGCATCTGCCAGAGAAAGTGGAATGGGGTAATTTGTGTGTGTTTTAATGAGGTGCGGATGGATGAAGAAGGTTGGTTGGCCAGCTAGAAAAGGCTTTGGCCTCTTTCAACCCCTCAGAGGGGCCATATGATGTCCAGCTCGCTCTCTCTTCTCTCTCTCTCTCTCCCTCTCCCGCACACACACACACCCTCGAGGGGTCACTGCTGCATGGACACGTCGCTACATCATCCTCCCTCCCTCCTGATTGCACTCTTTCAGTCCCTCTTCCCATCTCCGTCCCTCCCTCTGCATACAAAGACCTTCACTTTCCCTCTCCATCACTTGTTTCCACCACTCCATCCATCTCTTCCACATACATACCACAATTTTTTACTTTCGGTTTTCCTGTCTCTCTCCCCCCTCTCGTTCTGCCTTCCTCCCTCTCGCCGACTCCCCCCGTCTGTCCCAGAAGAACCAGCCCCTATGCATATTTTAGCCCCTCTCCTCTCTTCCTCTCTTCTGTGCCTCTCCCCAGTGCCCCATAAATAGTGCAGACGTAAGCTGGTAAATAAGAGATGTTTTGGTGTGTGTCTGCTTGTGTGTGTGTGTGTGTGTGTGTAAATAAGAAATGCTGTGGCCCTGATCAGTGAGGTCCTTCTGGATCTCTCTCTGCCTTTGCTCCCAGACTTCACACACAACTTTCCTCATTCCCTCTGTTTTAGTTTATTTCTTTCTCTCCATCTTTAGCAATTAGCTTGGCAGTAGAAACAGCTTTTGTGTTAATGTTTTTAAAAAGTGAGTTTTACCACCAACATTTACATTCAGTCATAAAGTAAGAAGTGCTGTTTCATGGTCTTTGGAGGCCGTGCTTCTCTCTTGTACAAGTATACTTGGTTTGAAATAGTCATCCAGCTCTGTATCAACTCTACATCATCCCTGACAGACTTCTTGATTTTCACATTGGCTTTGAGCCTCCAGGGGGTGCTATACTGCAGCTTCTGTCCTCAGTGCTTCCTCCTATCTCTCGCTCCATCCATCACTCTTGCACTCCTCCCCAATCATCCCTTGTTTTCTGCCTTTGAGTCTGTTGTGCTACACAATTTCCTTTAGCACTAGTAAATATTTAAACGCCACTAGATGGGTGGATTGCTGGTCAGATGAATAAATGGATGGATGTGGGGCTTCCTTTCGTTTGTTTGTGTGTTGATTCCCTCCACCGAATCTTCCTCCTCTCCCTGTGTCCCAGCGGTGTTGAATATTTGAGAGTCGCGCGCGCACGCTAGCACAAACACGAGCGAGGATCTGTTCCCTCGTAGACACAATTAAAAGAACACATAGTTTACACACACACACACACACACACACACAATGGATGGACAGCTGAAGGGTTAGAGCGAGGGATGGAAAAGTGGGAAATAGAGAGGGATGGGGAAATCAATAGCCAGACAGAAAGGCAGACACGTACAATATAATGTAGAGCTATTTCATTTTACATTTGAACACAGTTGCACCACTCCCCAACATCAGAGCTACTGCATCACTAACATGTTAATCATTTGTATGCAGTCAGTATGGAGCACCTCCTCAGCAGCTACTGTATGTTGTCCATACCTGGAAATGGAGGAAATATTTAAAGAGTTTCCCCCAGAGGTACAGTAATGAATACAATCTTTATTTTGGTAGTTAATGCGGAGCAAAGAATAGCATAGCAGCCTGTTCAATGCCTGCGGTTGGTATCAGGACTGTGTGTGTGTGTGTGTGTGTGTGTGTGTGTGTGTGCTTGCGTGCGTGTGTGTGTGTGTGTGTGTGTGTGTGTGTGTGTGTGTGTGAAACAAGCTGTGTTTAGTAGTCTGTCTGTGAATAATGTTGTCTTTGTCTTTGTCTGAATCTAAGAGCCTCACTGTCTCCCTCTAACTGAATTATGGAAAGGTGTGGATGTGGCTGAACTGGCAATGGGGTTTATATGTGTGTGTGTGTGTGTGTGTGTGTGTGTGTGTGTGTGTGTGTGTGTGTGTGTGTGTGTGTGTGTGTGTGTGT